GTTTATTCATTATCTCAAATTTCAGAATATCCAGATTTGGGTCTGACTTATAATATGTTTTTATCTAAGAATATTAAGGCTAACATCCAGCCCTGGGTATAAAAACACAACAGCTGTTGCAAATGCAATGTCAGCTTTGATTTGAAGAAGGTACCAAAATACATTGGTTGCTTCCTTTGCCCATTATCACTACTATTTTAAGGAGTAGCTCTCTCTTAGCTGTCTTAAACACTCCCATCTGAATAACAAAAAAGGTTGGACCATTTCTGTAGGACCTATGAACAGTTATACTTGTTTCAAGGCTGGCAGGTGGAGCCCAAGATAAATAATACTGTTTTGGTATCTGGATTTACTAAAAGCACAAATGTAACTTGAAGAACTGTGTTAACATCAAGCAGAGTTGATGGGGTGACAAAAAGATAACTGTCAAATCAGTAGTACCAAATAATAATGAATGTGGTTTCTAGAAAGGCATCAAAATGTTGAAAATATTTGTCGCTTTAGATAATTGTGGAAAGTGTTACAAACTTACTCTTGCTGCTGCTTTCTGACTGGCAGGTTTTTTGTAAGCTTTATGTTGACCAGTAACTTTGTACAAACAGCTGCACTGAATTGATTAGTTGAAGGGAACTCGATAAATCACCTAACGGAGCCTGAAAACTGTTTATTAAAATAGTAGTCTTATGAGTGATTAATTGTCAACAGGTTTTTTTATTGAGTAATCCATTTAATTATCTGGCAGCACACCTAATGAATACTGGGAGCCATATCTCCATAGTCAGCAAGAATAGTCAGTGACAGTTCCCCATAAAAGTTGTATTTTATATCCCTGCTCTCACCAAATGTGCTTCTTTGCACTTTGTTAAAAAAAAAAAATAAAAAATTAAGGCTTACATACCTTATTCATGCTGATGCTCTAAATAGGTACCTCAGATGTGGATTGGAGTCTCTTCTGACTTATGAGTGTTATTTCTGAAATAATCTGGCATGGCTTAATACTTATAAATGTCAATCTTGATGCTCATGCTGAGGAAAAGGTAAAGAATGAAGCTACCATATTTCTGTCTGTGTGAAGTAGAGACCAGTGAACAATAGTGTACAGTATTATTCTAGTGTATTGCTTGCTCCATGAACCACTCTGTTAATGCATTTTATTTAATGTGTTTTATGGACATAAGTTAATTTCTGATGGGCAGCCAGTAATATATCCTTGACAGTAGAAGCTGTAGCCCTTTACCTTCCAAAGAGCAAGCAAAGTTGTAATTACAATGGAACTGCTGATTAAACTGAACTGCAAGCCACTATCTTATTTTTATAATAAGTTGCTCAACAAACAGACAAGAAATCAATCAATCAAGGTTTATTTTTAATATAGGTTTTTGTCGCACTCTTGAAAGACTATTTGAGATTATCTGTCTTTTATTTTAAGAAACATCATCTGTCAACTTTTTTGTGGACTTCCAAGGAAGATTTTGCAACATGAATTCTCAGAGCCATGGTTAGGATCAGTCTTGTGCTGCTGCTTCTTTTGAAAAGACTTGTCCATTACTAATTCAGATCCTTTTGGCATCATCAATGTGTCACGTGAGTCACTGGCTAATGCGTGGCTCAGGTGGCTTTTTCCTTCAGGGGCAAGTTTACTTCCCCTGTAGACTGTAGGCTGGGGAGAAAAGGGAAAGATGTAATGAAGATTTGAGCTGTAAAATTGAAATCTGCATAATTGAAATCACTACCATGTAATAAACATACTTTTTTTTTTTTGTAGAATTGCAACTAGCAGTAAGCAGATCTAATAATGTATGCTAGAGTTTGCGTGTTCAAAAATGTGACTAACATGAAAGATTGCCTCTTTAAAATGCTATTACCGGGTTTAGCTTTCCTAACCACTAATTTTAAATGTGTTTGTTAACAGAAAACTCGTTGCTTTTCCTTTTTAGTGCAGCATCTTATTTGTATCTTCACAGCATGGCTTATAAACATGGCCCACAACTCTTGTTGAGATACTGGGAGTTGGGAAGGGGGGGAGCAGTTGTATATAGAACTTGGAACAGGAAGGAGGACATCTTGCCCAGCATTGAGTCTGGTGCAGCACAGTTGTTGTTCATTGACTTCCTCCTGCTCCCAATTTCATGTTCAGTCAAGTTGTTGTCAAGGATGGAGTTCTGTTTCCATTTACTTGTGGAGCTGTCTGTGAGAAGATTGCTTGAGGAACAGAACAGCAGCAATCAGTCAGCTAAACTAAACCTTTGTTCTTAGTTTGACGTTTATTGCAGTGTTCTAACTGTAATGTTGGGAGTGGAGGTTGAAAGGCCTCATTTTTCCTAATCTGAGTCTCATCAGTAATGACTTTAGCAAAAAGATTCACTTTTTGAAGGGGGTGGGGGAGGGCGACACGCCAACTCCTGTTTGGTTTCTGTGTAGCCTGTGCACTAAGTTACATAAACAATAACCACTGTGACATTTGCATCATTTGGGAGAGTTTCTACAGCTAGCCAATGTGTAGTTCATCTGCTAGGCTGGTTGGTTGCCAAGTGTATGGCGGAGACCTGTTTGGAAGGTGCTGTAGAATGAATGGAAGTGAATATTATTCTTTACTGTCTTCTGGCTGCACAATAAGCATGCTAAAGAACCTGAGTCATGAAGAAACCCATCTTCCGTGTTCTTCTGGGGGCAGAACAATTACCAAACAGAAAAATAAATGTCCAATGGTGAAGCAAGTATCTAGAGGCAGAGTATATTTGGAGGTGAGAGAAGGACATAAAGCAAGGCAAGAAGATTCTGGGCTGAGACAAGGCAAGGTTAAAAGAAACATAGCTGGTATAGAATAAAGAATGATGTAATGTTCCAGAGGAGAAATCATTAACAGGAAGCTCTGCAATTTAAATCCCTTCTGCTAGAAGACATGGTATCCTGAATAAAGAAAGTGTGGTAGGGTACAGTATATAGGTACTGCCTGGGTATCTGGACAGCATCAGAAATTGAAAGTAAAAAAAAAAAGTTTAAAATGTTTCAGAAGTACCTAGAGTTGTGTTATGTTTTAATTATGTTATCTGAAAATGGCACTGAGCTCTAGTTCATAAGCTGTCTGATGCTCTAGGAAATTTGTGCTCTGTGATTTGAACCGTGACTGTAATTTTGTTTTGCTTCAGTTTCTTTTTAAGAGTTGGAGTGGAAGGCATGAGCAGGTCAGTGTTGTTTATGCTTGGTGACATAAAGCAGCTGGGATACAAGATCTCAAGTTTTGTGAAAAGCTAACAAGATCTGTATGTAGAAGATCCAAGTCTTCCAGAACTAGTAGTTTTGTTGTGCAAGTCCAGTATGATCGCAGTCTATTCAGCAGTAGGAGTCTGAGAAGGGTGGCAACACCTTTTTAAGGCTGATTAGATTTTCTAAATAAAGCTGGCTATAGATCTTTTTAAACACCTGGGTAGTAAATCAGTTATCCAAAACTGAAGTCTGCATCTTCAATTTATGATTAATTTCTAAACCTGTTATTTTGGGGTTGACTTTTTAGAGGTGAAGAAAGCCTATGGTGTCATTTAATTTTGTTTTCTCTGATGTCTTATTGTGTAACCTGTTATAAAATAGTTTGTATAGCTAGGCTATTGCTGCTCTTAGCTAGTAGACTATGAAGTCATCTTGGGAGAGAAATTCCTTGTGTCACAGAACAGAACTTAAAATATTTTGTGAGAGAGAGAGATGTACATATACACACTCTCTCTTGCACTAATTTTCTTTTGCCTTTGCAAGTGTCAGGAGTGTTGCAGTTCTTTTCGAGTTATCTCGTTTCCTGCAACAGAAGAGTCTCTTTGCAGAATATTAGATTGCAAGACTGGACTTGTGCTGTGACAGTGATAGCAAGCTAGTTGTGGTGCTGAACTGTGACTTAACAGGAGCCAGCAGCTTCTGGCAAGCTATTAATTAAAAAACTCTGGATAAGTGCTGCACTTCTAGCACTTCTTCTGGTAACATGAAATGTAGTCAACTTTATCCATTTCCTGATATCTCTTTAGGTAAATGATGTGGAAATTAAAGAGCAAGACAGACACTTTTTACATATCTGGAAGTATGGTTAAAAATCCTACTTTTTGTACAGAAGTTGATTCAGTCACTGGGCTGCTCAGATGGTCTTGAGTTGTGGTACTGAATTCTGTCTGTCCCCTTTCCCTCTTTGCCTACCTTGAAAACTTTCCCATGGTAGAAACTCTCAGTAGCAATAAAACATGGTTATGGGTGGTTGACCGGTAACAGTCTGATAATTGTTTTAGCAGACACAAAAAGTAAGGATCAGGCTGCAGTTTTATTATCAGAAAAAAATTTCATTGGGGTAACATAAAATATTGGAAAGCTGTTATGTGGTTTTGAAATAGAAAGCACATTTGTCATGACATCTGAGCATGGCCAGAATTTTAAACATGCGACAAGTGCTGGAAAGTATTCATCAAAATGTACACTCTGGTCTAGCGTATTTTTATTTGTACCTGATGTTTTTCCCAATGATAATAATGTTTTCTTCTAGACTTTAGTAATTGTTTGGCCTAAAGTATACTTTATTTACAGGTTTGGGAGTGCCCTTCATCAGGCTTTTTCAAGCTTCTGCAACAGTTTGATTCTTATTTTCTCCTTTATTCTAGCAGAAGCATTTTGCCTTACCTAAGATGGAGAAAAAAGTAGTGGTACTTTATGGTAATGAGCAGAAAATTGTATAATAGTCTTTCTCTCATGTATAGTTAGTGCTCCAGACTTTGTCATTTTTCTGATGCTTGTTTCTTTCCTAAAAATCCAAATTAACTAAGCATAACTTTGAAACAACTACTATAAGAATTTTTGTAGTAAATCATTAATTAAAACAAATCTATTTTGGAAATCCTGTTTTATTTATGTGTTTTTATTGAGAGCTATTAGTGAGAACATTGCAATCTTTAATCTTCAGCATAGAAGCAAGGCTATCTTTTTATAATTTGCAGTATAACAGATAATCTTTATTTACTTTGTAGGCTCTTACAGAATGACCTTGCACTGAGCCTTTGTGGAAGAAGCAAGATTTAAACATCAGTTCTTCAATGTGCATCCTTCTATTCAAATTTGACCCCCGACCAGTTTCAAAAAATGCATACAGGTAAAGATGGTTCTAGTTAAAACTGACTTGTTTCTATAATTTTTTTATACAATTTCTTTTTGTAGCCAATGTTTGAATTAGAAACTCAAGTCAGTATTAGGTATTCAGTTATGCTTTTGTAATGTTTAACTTTGATTTTCCCCATTGGAGGACTTACTGTAACCTTCTGAGAACCCTTTGTTTCTAGACTATGTCAGAAAACTTGCCCTTTGGTGCTGGTCTATCATCTGGTATGGGATAAATGCTTTAAATATTGTAATCCAGAGTTTGAAAGACCTGCCTTTATCATTTAAACTAAGGGGAATTTTGTTTGTTAGGGTATCACAGCTATAGCAGCGAGGTTCAGGAAAAAATGCAATTTCTTTCAGTAGGGTAGGTGTGTTTAGGGCTTTCAATTTGAAATGAACAATTTGAATTTAGCCTGGAAAGTAATGGGCAGACAGTAGAGCCCATCCCCTCCCCCAAATCTGCTTGCGATTAAAATTTCAGGTAACAAACTAACAGTCATGTTAAAATTTTATGTAATTAAAATTTGATTTTTAGGTAATAAACTAATAGTCATGTGTATGACGTATTACCCAAAAGCTTAAAACAAAGCAAGCATCCATGCTTCTGTGTAAGTCTTACTGGATGTGCTGATGTCATACAGTAAGTTTCCCAAACATTAAACTTCCTCTAATAATTTTGTCTCTCATTGCAGCCCTTAATTTTAAAAGTTCATATCCAATATCAATATCTTTGAGTACATTCAGTATGTAATAGAAAGATAGCACTTCAAGCCAGTAAGAAGACTGTAGAGTCCTATTGCTTCCTGTATCTATACATACTGTATAGGTTCCATATTACTGTGTGGGGTGCAAGTATAGGTATTCATCCAGAAACCGTCAGTCAGTATGCTCACTAAATCATTGTGCCTTTCATTGACTTGTTTTTCTGCCCTTGTGTATCGAGAAGCAAGTTGCCATTCTATACAAAGAAAGGAAATGGGAACTGAAACTTCAATTGTCCATAGAGTGCGTTCCTTTCTGCATCTGGAATGTGCCTAAAAGGGGGTTTTGTTTATTATGTGACTGGTGTTGAATTAATTTATCCATTTATTTGGTCTGACTTTCTTTGTGTTGCTAGTTAGCAAAAGACAGATTCATCAATTTGATGCCTCTTGGGAAAATCCTTTGGATGTAAACTAGCTGTTTGCCAAGTGAATATTTAAAAGTAAAACTTACAGTAGTTTGCTTCCTATAAAAAATTGCATCAAGATTGAAATTATTGATTTATAGCAGAAAACAACTGGCTATCAGTGTCAAAATAGGAAAACACTTTTGACATGTTTTGGCCCAAATTCAGGAATATTTAATTGTATTTAACTTTCTTGGTACCTTTTGTTAAGGTCTATACCTCTCTGAGATAATTACTCTGAGCCATCTGTTTCAGTGATAAGTGCCAGGCCATAGTGTTCTTGGTTTCAGATTTTAACATCAGATACATAACTTTAGTCCCCATTTTTTTCTTAACACACCATAACTAAATCTTTTTGCTTGTCTTTATTTGGAAGAATGTTGAAGGTTCTTTCTTCTTAAATTGTTCCCTCTACTTTGCATCTCTAACTAAATGAAAGTGTCTAAAGTAGGCATTAAAACTTGAAAAGACAAACTGCATTATCATTGGCCATTTTACTGTAGCCAATAAACCTTGTCAAGCTAAAACATGTTCTCCATAACATTTAGGAGAATTTTCCATCCAGGTAGACTTTGTTTCTAGAGCAGTACATTGGCCAATTTACATGAGCACCTAATTGAGCAAAAAGCTTACAGTTCACCTTTGTGATGCACTAATGAATCTCTATCTTCCTGTGCCCTTCCAACTTGATGTTCTACCCTTTTTCCTCCGTGTTGTCTGCACAGGCCTATTTGTCGTAAAGTTTAGTACATTGTAACAAACGCTTTACTGTAGTCCATTATTATTGTCAAAGGTAACATCCTGCCTTTACATCTTTCTGAACTATACTGTGTGCTCTTACAAATAAATACATGTTTCAAGCTTCAAAGCTATAATCACGGAATCTTTTTTTATGGAATGCAATTACGTTGTAGGAAATTGCTTTAATGGAATGATTTCTCATGTTTTCATCTCTCTGCCTCAACATTAAAATAAATCTTAACACATAAATCCTAATACAGTTAAATTATTTCAGCTATAAAAAGAGCTGAATAGGCTTTTTGCAATTTATTAGAAGATGAGGGTCACTTAATATTGCTCCTTCTCAGTATGATTATTTTTCATAAAAGACAAAATTAAGATGTTTTGGATATAGGGATCCTGTATACTGGCCTTGTGCTAAATTTAGGAGTCTGCGTGTTTAACTTGAGATGGGGAATCTTCAATCACACCAGAAAGACTTTGCTTATTTTTAGTATTTAAATACTATAAAGAAGCTGTGGTTTCATGTCAAGAATTATTGAAGGCAAAATATAATTGGAGCTTCAGGAATTGAGAAATGCACTTGACCCAAACTATTTTATAACAGTAGAGATGTTTGTTTAAAAAAAAAAATCTGTAAAAGGAGGATATTCAAGCAAGATTCCTTCTCAGTATGATTATTTTTCATAAAAGACAAAATTAAGATGTTTTGGATATAGGGATCCTGTATACTGGCCTTGTGCTAAATTTAGGAGTCTGCGTGTTTAACTTGAGATGGGGAATCTTCAATCACACCAGAAAGACTTTGCTTATTTTTAGTATTTAAATACTATAAAGAAGCTGTGGTTTCATGTCAAGAATTATTGAAGGCAAAATATAATTGGAGCTTCAGGAATTGAGAAATGCACTTGACCCAACTATTTTATAACAGTAGAGATGTTTGTTTAAAAAAAAAAAATCTGTAAAAGGAGGATATTCAAGCAAGATGACAGAAATTTGGTAAACCAGCTGAAAGCCTATAGATTGAAAACTAGAACCAGCTAGAAGAGGGGAAACAATGCAAGTCTGAAAGGAATGATATTAGAATTATTTGGCATTGGAAAGATAAAAATGTACATGTGCTGTGCTTTCTAACAAATGCTATCTTTGTTGGGCAAATACTAAGTATCTTCCTTAGAGAAAGGATGCCATTGAAGTGTTAGCCTTTTTTGTTTTCTCTATAGCTGATTATAATTCCTTATCTGTAGTATTTCTAATGTGCAACTGGCACTTCATGATCATGTTTTAAAACATTTAACACTGTGTTAATGAAGAGATTAATTTGCAGGAAAGGTCCAGAAACCTGCAGAAAATGTCATTATATTTGAATATTGAATAAAGTAATAAGATTGCATTGGAATTGATTCTTGTGTGTTGTGGCTTAAAAACTGGAATTAAAATTGTATGGTCTAACTTCAGTTTACAGTAGCAAACTTGGCTTCTGCTGTGTAAATGTAATTGATGTGCAGCTGGTAGGAGGGACTGACAGTGAAGAAGATACTGAGGTTATAGGAAACTGGTTAAGAAAATCTGCAGGTTTCTGAAAGATGGCTTTTCATTAAAATTAAATATTAAGCAACATAGCCGGAGAGAATGGGGAACACTCAAATGCGCAATTGAAGCAAAGGCAAGTTGTGTTATGGGTAATAATGAGCAGGGCTTTGGAAGCGCTAGCCGTTGGGTCATGGCATGGTGTGGCGGAGTTGTGCGCAAGCGTGTCTGCAGTCACCTGTTGCCCTGAGTCTCCAGCATATGGCTTGCCTAGGGTTACAGTTGTCTATTGCCCTTTACTTGGATCAGCCAAATCCATTACCTGCTCTTCAGGTAAGGATATTCTACCAATGAAAAACACTCTTTTATTTATTTTAAATTCCAAGATAATGATCGAAAAAAGACTGATGGAAGAGCAGCATGAAATGAAAGCTTATCTACAGATTTGAAAATGGCATTGTCTGAATGCTGATTCTCAGCACAGAATCCCAGTAGCAATTCTAACTCAAGCTTTTACTTATAAGATACCCTGCATCTATTTGATGTTGCAATAAGTCATTAAATTGGGTTTCTGATGCTCTCTTTCATTGCTTTTGAATAACAGAAAATGTTAACTTTCTCACTTTCAAAAGATGGATGTGCACAGTCAGATTAGCCTAGACTTTTATTTCTGCTGTTCCAGTGCTAACACTGCTAATGAAATGACTGTAGCATACATTCTGTAAGGTTATTGTGTGGTCTGTAAGGGAGGACACCAAACAAGTTGCTTTGTTTTAATAACTTCTGCTGGATGAAATGGACAGAGAAACAGTTTTTGTTTTTCAAATCCTGAGATCTGAGGCTGTTCTAAATTCCTCTGAAGCTGTCTAGCTGTACTATTTAAATCTTACCTGCCTTTTACGTTCACAGCCTGACTGGCTTGAACTGGTGTTATCATTGAATTTGACTGGTCTGCACTGCTACCAAGCCTGGAACTTTTGAGGAAGACTTGTCCTATCTTGTACGTCCACTGCTTCTTACATATCATATTGAACTTCGTCTTTTGAGTCTGCAGGTGCCATTTATGATAATTATCAAAGTACAGAGCAGAGGGAACCAGGCAGAGCTACCAGAATTTTCTGTCACTGCCATTTCCTAATAATGTCTGGTAGTGTTTAATATCTGTTTGTTTTCTAAAATTATAAAGTTTTAGATGGCACATGAAGAGCTGCAGCACGCTTTTTGTCAGGACAGCACTTAGTCTTGTGGAGTGATGTGTTTATTTGTAAATATAAATAATGGATTTCATCCAGCAGCATTTTTCAATTGCATATTATTTTTCATAACTTCTTCCTACCTCCTGATTGTGTAGCTTCCAGGGCTGCTTGTAGTTTCTCAGCTACAAGGGCTGGCTCTCACTGAAGATTCAACTATTTTGTCTTACTGTTCTGGTAGAACTCAGATTATGCAAGCAACTACACATGCAAAAAACCTACAAAGCAACAAAAAACAGAGGGAAAAGGCCCCATCAAAATACCTCTTGATTGTGACAAAAATCCATGCCTTTTCCTTTTACTTCTCTGCATCCTTGAGCATGCTGTCATTTCTTCAAACACATTTCGGTGGGGCTGGACCTTTGAGACTATCACAAATTTATCTCTCTTGCAGGTACTTACAGACACAAGCATCTGACTTGTATCTTTGAACCACATAAGTAGGGTTTCAGGTGTTGAAGTTAGATTAAAAAATATTGTGATGACATGATCCTAGGTAATGATCTAGTAAAAAAATACTCATGCTTTATATTTTTTTTGTTACCTATATATCTGTGGGCTACCTTTAAATTTTCTTTAATTAAGCTGTAACTTCACATGCTGAGGAATCTTAAGATTGCTTATGCAATCTTAATTAAATCTCTTGTGTTGTAAGTATTGTTCCTTGAAAACAATAGCTACCTCATTCATACAACAAGATAGACTTGCTGAATGTCTTAAGACAATGAGAGAGAAGGCTGCTGTCAGATGTCATTCAACCTTTACACTGAGCGATAAAGGTGAGATGGGAGGATAAAGGACGGTTTCATATCTAAAATGAGCTATAGCTGTGGCAAGAATTGGATTGGATTCTATTCTGGCCTGTACTGTGAGGTTCCTATTTGTAAATAATAATATCTCTTTCCTCTTGTGTTCTACAGGCTTATTCTAGCAGCTAATAGAGATGAATTTTACCACAGACCATCCAGATCAGCAGATTTTTGGGACAGCAGCAATGAGATACTTAGTGGTGTGTATGTCCTGTTGTTTTGAGTGGTTTTCATACAATTTATAAGGGAATTATGGACTGGATTTTTTGGTTTTGCTATTGGGGGGGTGGTGGTGCATTTCTAATACGAAATACGCTTCTTCCCTACAATTCTAGGGAAAACGTCATAAGTTTGAAAGATGAGTTGTGCTGTTACTATCTTGTTTGTGTTTTAGTATCTTCTGGATTTTTTTCACAATTTTATGTTCTTTAACTGATTTCAGTCCGAGCAGTGCAATGGAAATATATTAGATTAATTTGTCCATCACAAACAATTAACTTTGTCAGATTTCTTCAAATAGATCGAATTAGCTATTCCATAGATTCATTGTCTGTAATAGTGACTTGAAATCATTAAACCAGGACTCAAAAAAGTGAAAACTTGCTCATTTCTTATTGGTTAATAATTTATAGGCTACAGAAGAATTTTAATTATTGATCCATCGGTTTATTAGCTTTCGTGTCTACATTTTGCTAAACTGATAGTACAGTCACTCAGCTGTCTGATTCTCTTTTGTAGGGAATCTATCTGTAGTCATTTTTAAGTATAATCGATACGTCTGCCTTTTCTTAGAAACAGAAATGAAGCTCTGGAAGACAAGTATTATTTAAATGCAAGATTTTCACTTTGCAAATACTCTGTGTTGATGCTGCATGTTATTGTCATTGGCAGGAAGGCCTGTAAGGATAAATTACTCCCACTGCACTGCAGCTCCCTTGCTTCTGAACTTCTGGCTGATGTTTCGGTTCCGTGCTAGGCATTCTGGATGCTGCTTCCCCTGCTATGTAGCAGTTTAAAACAAACAAAAAACTGTCCTGAAAACTGAAGGGCCACGAATTTTTGTGTTATGCCCTTGTCAGCTCTGTCCATATTTGGCATAAGAAACTGGTATATGCTCCATCTAGGGGGTATATGTGTGGAGATCCCATGAATGTATGCCTTTGACCTAATAATGTTATGTCAAATGAAAGCAGCGAGTTGAACCAAAATAAATCAAATTTATTCCTTGTGTGACTTAAAAATGAAAAACTATTTTGCACTTCCAGCCATTTCGGAAAACAGGAATTGCTATATGTTAATTACTGGGTATTGGTCAACCAAGCTGTATGTTTTTCTTTTGTGTGCCTTTCAGTTAAGCTAGAGAACAATATTAAAAGTATTGTGTAAAGATGTGATGTAGCTAACCTCAATATTGAAGTTTTAGATACTGAAGAAGGAAAAAAGTTTCTGAATAAGGATCTAAAACTTGTTCTTTTGATTTTCTAATGAAAGTTATCTTATGACATGATGATTCAGAATTAAAAGGTTTCTAACAGTATTCATTCCATTAAATGCTTGCTGCTTAACATGAGGATTCAGAATTAAAAGGTTTCTAACAGTATTCATGTTATATTGAACTAGTTTTTGTTTTTCCATTAAATGCTTGCTGCTTAACAGGAACTCATTACAAATAGGTAGTGGTGGTTTGTTTGGGTTTTTTTAACTTGGACTCTTTCAAGAGGTTTGGTTGTGAGCTTCACTTTTGTGGGTCCCCCTCCTCAATGTAAATTACTAGAGTCCAAGATTTTTATCAGTTACCTAGCTTACTCTGATTTTTTTTCTGGTCACTTGGGAATTTAAACATGCAAATAACATTAATCTTCTGAGATTTACGTTTGAGCTAACAATCATTCTGAGCCTACTTAGTGTTACATGTATTTCGGCATATAAGTAAAGTTTATAACTTTGCTTTTACATTTAATTTTCTCATTATCTCTCATCTGTTATTGCAGTAGCTTGGAAACTATTTGATAGTGTAGAATTGGAGGGTGGGTAGTTTAAGTGGGCTTACCTCACTTGTCCAGAGAGAGTCTTGTACCTACTGCATTTTATCCAGCCTGATCAAGACTTGGGATTTGCATTAATAAATTCTGATTTAAGCTTGGGATTTTTAAAATGAAGGTAATAGCCTAACTCTTACTTAATTCCATTAGGTCTGGATATGGAGGAAGGAAAAGAAGGCGGGACGTGGCTGGGAATCAGTAAGAAAGGCAAGATGGCAGCCCTGACAAACTATATGCAGCCAAAGGTTGATAAAAATGCAAAAGGAAGAGGTATGAAGGAGTAGAAATAGAAAAAGAAGAAAGTGGACAAACAAGCCCTGGTGTTCCAGTAAAATAGTGATGATTACAGTTTGTGGGGTTTTTTTTAACACAATGGACAAATAAATTGGTTATGTGCTGTAAATGGAATTTGTGAACTGATGACTTTGAGTACTTGCATGGGGAACTTGACTTGGATAATGATATTCTAATCAAGCAGACAAAAGTAAAATGAGTTGTAGTGCCTAGAGGCTGAGTTACATTCAGACAAGAAATGCAGCACCAACTGTCTTCTCTCTTAGTAATTCTTATTAACAGTCAGAACAACTAGACAAGCATTGAGCTAGGTTTAGATTACAGTAGATATTTTTAAAATGTGTTATGTTCTTGTTCAAACACCTAAGTCAGGGAAACAATGCAACTTGGATTATGCTGGACGTTAGTCTAAAAGATTATTGTAGTCCCTTTACCCCTACACATTGATAAATCAGAGGAGCAGAAGTAATAAGAAAAAGCCCTCTTCCGAAAGACTGCATCTGTGGGGTTTTTTTAAGTAAAAATAGGTCTGTTTGTAACTGTCATATGATACTGCATTGGAAATATATTGCAATGGCACAACATGTTATACAGAGAAACAAATGAACTGTGTCATTTGTAATTCATTTTAGGGTCATATATCAGGGAAATGAAGCAAGACAAGAAAGGTAGGAGGAGAGGAAAAGCACATCCAGTATAGAATAGCTAGTAAATATGAGTTCTGTAGAAATTTTGACCGAGAGCTTTTGACTGAGTACTTCAGAGTAAAAGTCAAGCTCTTAATGTGAACATGATACAATGCTGTAAGACTTTTAAAGGCTGGCTGGTTGCTTGGTTTGGTTGGGGGTTTCTGGCTTTTTTTTTTTCTTCACTGTTGTACCCTGCTGGTAACAGGAACCTTATGTCTTACTGTTTGTTTTACCAAGCCTGTCAGAATAGTGAGTTCACACATAAAAGTTGCTCTATGTACTTCTCTTTCCTAGGTGCTCTTGTAACGAACTTCTTGACTGCAGATCTGGACAGCTACTCTTACTTGAAGAAAGTTTCAGTAGAAGGGCATCTTTACAATGGATTTAATTTACTAGCAGCTGACTTGAAGTAAGTCTACAAAACATCACAGTTCAAAGATAATAGCAGCACTGTACATATATTCCTTAGCACAGAAGTGTAACAAAACAGAAGCCTGTCATAAACTAAAGCTAGAGCTCTTCTTTTTTGTTAAGTGGCATGTAAGGTCCTAACATTACTCTAGTCGTAATTTCCTTTGTTATTTTTTCATCTTTCAAACACTGGAGGGCTATCTTGTATTCTAATCATTGCTTCCCATAAAACTTGTTGTGACCCTTTCCCTAACAGGCCGTAGTCAGTCTTTACGCTGAAGGCTACATGGCTTGTGTTTTGGAGAAGACAAAACCTTGGCTCCATAATTTCTCAGAAACTTATTTTTTTCTCTGAGAGGTGGCAAGCTGTGGCAGAATTAGAAGGACTGAAAGCTTTCCAGCTATTTATTCCTGTAAGAGCGACTGCATCATTAATCTTTGCTGAAACATTAAAAAAACTCAGGATGTAACAAACAACTTCATCAAGCTTCTGTAGCTGAAGAAAGGACCTTGGATACTTGATTATAGTCAGTGTGGTTGGCACAGTCCTTTCCATTGCACATGCATGTGTGTGCATGCAACTATATATGCTGATTTTTTTAATTTGCATTATGCCTGATTGGAAAGAATGGAAATCCAGGGCTAAGTCATCTCCAGGCTATGTATCAATTCTCAGTTAGAGGCATACTTCATGACCATAAGCAGGTATAAATTGCCAGGAGCACACTACTGCTTTGGAACACTTTCTGCAGAAGCATTAATCTTATTAGGCCCTGCACCAACAGGTTGTTGTCTTCTACTCAGCTTTTCTACATGCTTCTGGGAAACCACTTATATCGAAAGCAGAAGGTGATAGTGTTTACTGCTTTCAGTGAAAATAATTTCTAGCACCTTATCACTAACTGGCCTTGCATTTCTATTTTTCACTTTCTGTATTAGACTACCTTCAGCTAGTGGTTCAGATTTATCGGTCATTTCTTCCCTACTCTCCCACTTTCTGCAAGTGTTTTGTCATTTTTTTTAAGTCCTTTATTTAGGTGGGGTTTTTTAAGTTTATAAGTGTTTGGGTTTTTTTAAGTCCTTTATTTAAAATTCTGCCAGGCTATTAGTTTTCGGTTTTGCTGTGATATAGTGGAAAAGTGAAATGAAACTCATATAGGTGATTGAAGTCTAAAAGGATGAATACGAGAAGGTAGACGTGTGCCACCTGTGAAAACACCAGGAGTGTATTTCTGCTTTGGTGTGCCTGCTTAGAAATAAGCATATAGGTTTTGTTTCCAGAATCTTAATCAAGAGGCGGTTTAGGCAATTACAGGGTTTGCTGCTTTTCTGTTATTTTTACTCTCTACTTTACAAAGTTCATTATCCCACCAGAGACTTCCCAAAATTTTGCAGTTGCTTAAATTACTTTTTACCATGGTAGGAGGATTTGACTTTTTGTTCTTTCTTCTGTGTGTTGCTGCCTGGCTAGCTTTGATAAATTAGAAGGCTATCTGTAACTGAAAACATAATGGAAGAAATAGTCTTATTATGTTTTCAAGCAAACATGATATTTAAGGTGTGGCCTAGCAAGCAGTAAGTGTGTTTGAGTTTCTTTTTTTCTAATTTAGGTAAATAGAATAGTCATAATGGCTGCTAGTATAATGATATTAAAGTAGAGGCGATTGACATTATTTGTTAAGGCAATCATTCATGGGTTTTTTTGTTTGTTTATTCCTCCATGGTAGGCTGATAGGGAATTGTATGCTCAATTGAGTAGTCTTTCTGTGTTGATGCAGATCATAATTCCTTGCCGAGTATCACTCTGAAAGCTGTATGTGTTGATTAACTTCTCCATTTTGACGTGTCCTTAGCCTTGGATACTCTGATGAAATGAAATTCTTGGCAAGCTAATGATGCAGAGCAATTTCTATAATATGTAAACTCGTCATTTTAGGAAATTAGAAGTACTCCTGAGAGAAATGTAGTATATAAATGGAAGCTACTTTCCTATGTAAGTAGAAAATGTTATTGTAGTTGATGGTATTTTGTTAGGCCATGTTACTGTTCAAAGAAAAGATTGAAGACTATTCTTAACATGTTCTGTTGTGTAACAAATAGTGATTGGCTCTGTTTGAGTCGTGTGAAACAGAGAGGAAACTGAAATTGAAAGCGTAAATGAAGCACTGTTGGGGAAGGGTATATCTGAGCACATGATAGTGCTGACTGTAGGCAGCACATTTAGAGAGAGATTTACAATGAGTTTTCAGGTACACATTTTAGGAAAAGAAATTTTTATCTTCTCTCTGTATTGTTATGATGACAGTATGCTGGATGATACAGGTGCAGTGATGTGAGGAGGAGAGCTGGAAACCACCATACGGGTTGTAAAATCTCGTTGTTTATTTCCACAGCTTTGTGTGACTATTTTAAACATGCATGGGTTTTGACACTTTTAGTGTAATCTATTTGCTCTGCAGCATCTCATGATGTCAATTTAAACTCTACTCATTTCTTTTTTTAATAAGAATACTGTGTTGGAAAAAAATACTTAGTACTTTTAGTTTTCTAATCCCTTCAGTTTATCATCTTGCTGTGCCTGCCGAGTAGAAGAGTTGTGAATATTTATACCATTATGCTAAATGTACTTTTATGTTGAATGTATGACATATGGCAAACAGTATATGTTTGAGCCTTGTGTGGTGCAAAATTAGCTTCTAAGAAGGCAATGTTGCTACTCCTCCAGTTTTGACTATCAGTAGGTCTGATTAGAGAGGAACAAGGTTATCAGAAGCTGGACTGGTCTCTAAGAAAATGTCTGCTTATGATTCAGAGCAGTTTTCCTTCTTTCTCCCTTGTGGTTATATGTGAAGTAACAGTGAGCTGCTTTTGTTGATGATCAGGACAGCGTTTCTGTCTTGGGCAGACCTGTGTTTATGTCCAACAAATCTAGCTGCTACAGTTGCTCAGGCTTTCATGGGTATCTCAAACTTGTGTTAGGGCTGTTGTGGCAGCATCTCACTTGCATCCCTTGCTGCCAAGTGTGTAATACAGACCGCCCTGAAGGACAAACTGAAGTGGCTGCTTCTTTTCACTCCCCCAACAAGTTTAGAGTCTCTGACAGGTTGTCAGTTAGAGCCTTTATTGTTTATGTGCAATAAGATCCCTATGTAATAGGAGTAAATCTCTTTCTACATGAGGAATAGATGAATTGTCCCTTATAAAACAATTCAGCTGGAGGGAGCTGCAGAAAAAGGCCTTTCATGTAAGCTTTTCTGCTGTCCTCTGTGACAGGTGGTTTTCAATCCCTCCAGGGGAAATAGTCAACTATACTATCACCTGCATTGACTAATTTGGTAATGTATTGAAAATAGAGGTTATGTACTAGAATGTATTCTTCATGTTCTGATCTGAAGAGCAAAGTTTGGTTAATAGTAGGTTTTTATCCTTGATGTGATGATGGATAGGTCTGAGTTCCAGTTGAAACTGCAGATCCCTAAAACAAGGGGGGGGGTGTGGGTGTGGAGTGTAAATATACAAATATATAAAATATATGTTTAGAAGGGGGGGGGAAATATAAATTATATATAATTTTTTTTATTATTTTTTAATATGGAAATCTGCAGTTGGTTAGTTATGTAGCAACATCACTGATGAGGTAAAAAAGCAAACTGAAGAAAAGGTATTTGGGAGAAGAGTTAACTGAACTGTTGATAGTGCAGAGCATCACAAGACTAAAAAAACCTGAACAGTGTGACCAAGTTTTAGAAACATGGGCTGTTTTGTTCAGTATGGTTATCAAGACCATCTGAGATTAGACTTAGGAGTCTTTCCAGTGAAAAGTGAGACATGGTCAGACTGCTGGTGTGGAAAGAATGTAGATGGGCAAGTTGACACGATTGCTCTGTAAGCTCACTTACGTTTCTTCTCATGCATTGTCTGTCCTAATACAACCTTCTGTAGAATAAGTCTGTCTTGCTCCTTGTGACTTCCTCATGGAAATGAGGTGTCTAGGTACTTCTCTAACCCTTTCTGTACTACCACCTTTGAAATATTTCTGTGTAGATCCTCAGTCATTTGCAGGTCTAATGAGTTGGACAGTCCAATGTAAAGAGAAGGAAAAAGGCTTCTGAAAAACCTGTTTATTTTATCTCTTCCCCCTGGTGTCAGCTTCTGCCTGGCTCAAAAAATTAGGGCAACACCAAAGAAATGTTTAGACACTGACAAGAAAATCAGAGTAGTGCTTTAAAGCAGACTTCCTATGCTGTGAATATCCAGCAGTATTCTTTTCACCATTTTATTTGGTGATAGGTGGTATATGTACAAAAATGTTTGGGCTTTATAGTTGGTGGTTTGGTGTGTGGTTTTGGGGGTTGTTTGCTTTTTTTCTTTTAGCTTTAGAAATGAAAGAGCTTTCTGATTAGCTCATGAACATTGAGGAAAAGAAAATTAATTTGTGAACCATACTACTCAGTTGAAACTACTGTTCAGCATTTCAAGCTGCCAATTTCATCTTTTCTCCTTGCACAAAAAATACATGCACACCTTATTCATAAAACAATCCGATGTCCTTGTTTGTAAAATATTCACCCTGTTAGAAGATTAGAGCTCAGCGCCCAGGGGAGTGATCACTCGGTGATAACCACACCCTGTGGAGCTTTTACTGCCTCATTACTTTTTTTCTTTTCCTTTCTGTTTATTTTTGTGTTGAACATGACTTGGAGCTGCCTTGAAGTTGAAGCAGGGCAGGGGTGCAGGAGGTTGCTTATATTTCATCAGCATTAAGAAGTAATTCTGGCAAAATCTGCATGGCTTTCATGTTGCTGCAAAGCATCTATTACTGAGATTTATGCTGCCTAGATTATTTCCTAGAATATTTATTATTGCTTATATTTTTTGACAGAATGATGTATCTAAGAGCATAATTTTTAAGTAGTTTTAGTTTCGTCTCTTTCTGCTGTCAGCTATGGCTGGGATTTAAAAAAAAAAAAAAATAGGTCTACTGGGTCCTATTGTCATCGCTTTAATTATGCCTTTATTACTTCTCCAGTGAAATTGGTGTCTATACTTGTGAAGCTGGGAGGGAAGAGAATCTGAGTCCAGGCCAGGATTTTGAGGCTATTGCTATGATCAAGCTTACAGTGACTTTTTTCATCTTGGCTTCTGCTTTTATGTTCAGTACTGAGTATCTGTAAACAGTAGGAAGAGAATAGGCAGAGCCAAATGATAAAAGAAAGAGTAGTTGACTGGCACACTGAACTAGATTTTGGAAGTATCTCCATTTCAGAAGTCTCTTGGAAGGCTTCAGTCTTCTTTTGACAGACAGTGGAGGTAAGTGTAATAGAAAACACACATCTGGGGGAATGTGGAATGTAGAAACAATAAGATACAGATGTCCTGAATTAGTGACCCTGCAGTTTTTATGTATTCCCCATCTTCTTGTTAAACTGCGGGGGATCTTGTTACTGAATTTTTCAGTCACAAGGATCTCTGAACAGATGCTAGATGATGATATTCTTTCACATAAAAAGCTATTGCTAAAAAGTCAGTAGTGCCTACTTATTCAGCATACGGTCTCATTTATGACAGGACTTGTCTTATAGCTGTGTTCAAGGGCTTGCTTGGGCCATTTGTCTACCTTTTCATCTACAACTCTGTCTTTTGAGACCTCAGGTGATAACAATTGCTGTGATCTTTTTCTCTTCATAGACCTTCTACAGCAGATAAAATAACAGGTTCGACAATTTGAAAAGAAAGTATTTAATGCACCAATAAAATACTTTGTGTAATTGCTGGTGTCTTAACTGAAAAAAAAACCCAACCTATAATGACCTTAATGATTTTGCTTTATACATAAATGCTTGTAATATATTTATAATTGCTACTGTAGTTTTAATTTTTTTTTTTTAATGACCCAAGTGTTATTGTTAAAATAGGCCATTAGCAGCCAACTGTTTTTTTTTTTTTTTTTTTCCCCCTGTTTTTTAACTTTAGTTTATTTGTTCTCCCTGTGCTTGGTCATTGTCTGTACTGTATTAATTCCAACTGGATTTTATTTATGGACTATATTTATCAAAGTACTACTTCTTGCTTTTGAGATACAATATAAATAGTGTGCTCCATGAAACATGCCAATGCAGCAACTTAAGGTGACCTAAAATGCTTTGCTCACACATTGCTTTTTCTATGCCCCTGTTCATGGAAAATGCAGTGTGCCAGTGTGCTCTTATGAGTATGTCACTTCTTGTATCCTAGCATGTGACTGGCACCAAGGAGTGAAACTGGTCTATTAATGACAGCTCAGCTCAATTCTCTCCATTTTTAGCTGCCAAGGGATTCTTTCTAGTATTGGTACTAACTGTGTGCCAACTCTAAATGCACCAATCGGAACCAGGCTTGTAGGAAGGTGTCTTACCCCAGCTGGGATAGACATACATCATACATGTTACCATCACTTTACGCTAACAATTGACTGGCTATAAAGAAAAGATAAAGAATGCTGAGGAGGGGAAAGACCTGACATTGCTAAAATAGCCATCTGGTCCTAACCAAACATTAATAAACAAGGACTTGAGAATGTTAAGTATAGCTTCCATTCAGTTTTCAGCCTGGGTCTAGACTTTGTTTAAGTAAGGCTTTCCAAGGGCCATAACATGCTTTGAGCAAGAAGATTAACATCATCCTATTTTCAAAGGTTTCAGTTTTTGAATAACTGAATTCATACACCCAGATCTCCTCACAGAAGGTCTGTTGATCCTTTGAACTCCATTCCTTTTTTTACTCCTGTCAGGTCGAAGGCATCTCAGATATGTAGCTTAGTATTTGCAGCCAAATAAAGTACGGATCAACTTCTTTGGCTATATAAAGTTTTTCCTGTCTCCTTGAAGACCTGGCAGAATCCAGTTAACAGTATGGGAGTTTTATATTTGAAATTTCAGAAAGTTTGTAATAACATCCATCTAGCTTAAAAGCAAAACACCTTGGTAATTTAACTGAAGGGGCTAGTAATAGGAAAAAGAGTTAAAGACTTCTCATTGTATATGGCATGACTATAGAAATAGTTTCAGGAAATACAGTATTTGCTCATTTTTCTCATACAAATATTTCTGCAGAGAAGTATACTGGCAAAAAAAGTTTGCTGAACCAGTATAATAGGTGAATAGTTCATTAGAGATTTTTCCCACTCTTCCAATATTATTTCTAATACTTAAGCTTATTCAACAAAGAAAATGTTGTGTGCCCAGTGAAAACAGCTCTTGTTTTGAGTGCTGTGTTTATCTGCTCATGAACAAGCTATACCTTTTTTTCTGCATAACTTTTAATTCAGCAATTGTTTGTACCTGAAGGAGTCTCAAGAAATAGAAGGGAAGTTCAGGTTGTTGATAATAGATTTTTTTTTTTTTTAAATTTTATTTCCACTTGTATTTTTCAGCAGCGCTTTCTCATATTCACTGAAAATGCTATTTCTTTGTCTTACTGTGTTTAAAAATAATGATTTAAAAACTCCTTTTGTCTCTGAATAAAAACATACAACTCTTTTAACAGATTCCATAAATGGGTCACATACACAAGTTAATCTGTGATAGTGGAACAGAAATTTGCATCTCAAGAAATTAAGGAAAGAAAATTCTAGTCATATCTTGTGTTTTCTTTCTACTTTGTTTCAGCTGCTTTTCTTATGGGCTATCTAGGTATTCCCAATGCAAATACTCCAAATGGGGTAAAGAAACAAATAGCCTTTTCACTAACATACTTGGGTTTTTTTGATTGATGGATATTTTTACTGAGTCATAGGTAATGCATTCACATGAGAACTCCAGCAGAGACAAGTAAAAATCTATAGGAAAGGAGTGATTGATATTCAGTGTCCTGCTGCAATTAAAGCATGCTAGTTGTCATGATTCTGATGCAGGCAGTTGTCTGTGGAGACTTGGGGTGGTTAGTAAGGAGTCTTGAGATCAGCATAAGGTAAATTTGAACAAGGATCTTAATGTTGAAAAGAAAAAAGATAAGGAAAATAAATGTCTCTTAAGCTCTAAAGAAATTTCAGAAAATGCCACAGTTCTTTTAACAGATAAATTGTAAATTGAGTAACTGAGAGCTTCTTATATGATATTTAACAATAAAAGCAACAGTACACAAATACTACCTGCTATAATTACTGTCTTCTAACGGTGCTGAAAAACTTGGACTTACTTCTGTAAGGTACCAGAATGGTCTTATGGGTTTGGGAGGAGGAAGAATAGTGCACAGAGGAGGAAAGGCAGTTTTATTTTTGCTCTGTGGGGGGCTTTTTTTTTTTGTATTCCTCCTCTTGCCTCTTCTGACTTGTATAATTAATAAGTTGATATTTCCCTCTTCATTTGGCTGTCTTGAAAGGATGCTGTAGAATGTCTTTTGGAATGGCTTTTTAAGAAGAATATAAACAGCTAAATCAAGGCTGTTTTGCTTGTTATTAAGGTTTGAGTAGCGGATGCTAACTTATGCAGAGCAATTTAACTTCCAGTACATCATTAATGAGATTGCATTCTATATACTCTTATTTGCATCCAGGCACAGATATATCTTTTTATCTTAGGAAAAAATGAGGAGCTGGAAATGGCTTCTCTACTGAATTATGTTTTATGCTGCTCAATCCAAATTCAATCTTAACTGCAAGTTTTGTATGTGTTTGGTGGTTTTTCTATTTTTAATTCCAAAAGTCTATCTGATGTCTAAGAAGCTAGAGCTTGGGGGACAAATTAAAAGCTGAACTAGTCAGAATGTATTTGTTGGTAACTGGAATAATACTCTCTTCCACTGTGAACAAGTAAATTGCTAGAGTGAAATACAGAATTATATGATCTTATGGCTGTGTCCCAGCAAATTAAAACAAACAAACAAAAACCAAAACCCACCAGCTGGTAGCAATCTGAGGAATCAATATTTCACGTCAGAGAATGAGTGATGTAATGGCAATCCATTCCCCACCCTCCATTTCCCACAAGACACACACGGCTTAATGATGATTTTCTTGGTATTTTTTTTTCCTTATCAGTTGATTTGGTATTTGTATTGTCAATATCAGTATGACTACTTAAAAATCTGTGATATTCAGATATGCTGATATCATCTCTGCCAAGTGAGAGTTATTTGGAATATTGGAAGCTGTCTTTGAATACTACATGAGATCCCCCCTGCTAAACTCTGCACAAGAGAGAGTGAGTGCTGAAGCCAATTAGAGAGAGAGCTTACAAGCAGTAACTACAATTATCTGAAAACAGTCTGAAAATGCATATCTGTCACTTAAAGGACTGAACTATGCCCTACAACATTGCCATAGGTGGGCCTAAAAATTTACTTCTGCCAGATAAAATGGCCCACAGTAGTCAGCCTCTTAGAATGCAGTAGTGATTCAAAAGAGATAATGGGAAAATGTTAATTGCTGTAATGGACTGTCCTTTTGTTTTAATGTGCCCCCTTCCCCCAAGTAACTAAATCTCTAGTTATTCAAAAACATACAGATTTTTGTCATTAAGCCTGGCTACTTTCCAGTAGCCCAGCAGTTCTGGGGTTTACTGAATTTTATTATAGTTATGTTTAAATATGATAATGGTGCTATTTGACAGGAGTATGGCTAGTCCAGTGTTTTGAGAGGAGGAGAGTAATAGAACTCATCCAACTAATCTCTGGGCTGTGGTATCATAGTAGTGATAGTGGGAGAAACATCTTGCTGTGTTTGAAGATTGCATCAAATTAGCACATAATCAAATATAGAAGCTGATGGTTTTTCAAGGAGAAATTCTTATTTATATTTTTCAGCACCACCAAAGGAGATGTAATTTGCTACTATGGAAACAAAGGAGAACCAGAACCTGTTTTCCTAAGTCCTGGTAGGTTTTCTTCAGAAAGGTCTGAATACTCCTATTTGTTATTTTAAAGGAGCCAGGATCTAGTAGTTTAGCTATTTAAGCATTCTCTTCACTAACTTTTTCTTTGCATTCTTTAAAAAAAAAAAAAAAAAAAAAATTAAATGACCTTACATTCGTTTAAATATTTACTAATAAATTTCAGTAAAGAATCAATAGTTCATTAAAAGCTTCTAGCCATGTCAGTGTACCCAACTGCGATTAGTGGGACATTCCTTAGGTAACTATGACTGAAGGACAGAAGTCTGTCTTTAGGAATGGAATTTTCAAAGGTTTGTGGACTTGACCCTAACTCTTCTTACCCAGTAGTGTTAAGGGCATAGTGTGGCTATGCTCCTCTATGCACAGAGTTGGCTATTTAAAAAAAGAAAAAAACAAAAAACCAAAAAACCAAAACCAAAAAAACCAAACCAACCAAAAATAAACTGACAAAACACAACCCTAAAAAACCCCACTTTTGTCTGTTTTATCAGGTAGATTGATTTAAAATACTTAAAATTTAGCCAGCTACGTAGGACAATACTCCAGAATTCATCATCAAAAAGCCAGTTTCAATGGACAGGGACACATAGAAGGCTCTGAGCAGTGTAGCTGGTTGATAACAGTTAATGACAGCGGGTTATTTTGCCTGCTTAGGTTAATGGTCAAAATGTTGCTGCCAGTAGGCAAATAGCTACTGTAGCTAATTGCTGCAGTATAAATTCTACAGTATAAATTCTACAGCATAAATTCTTGGAAGCAGCTGTTGGATTTTATACAGCTCCAAGCAGAAAACAGGTTTTAATAGGAACATTAAAAAAAATTAAAAATCTGGCCACTTTTTGTAATGAGAAACTGAATCATAAATTTGAGGTATCTGCAGATTGTAGCAAAGGTAGTTCTGGTCTCCATGCTTAAACAACAGATTCCTTTTCTGTGTATGTGGCTGTCTTTAGGGAGAGCCGAGGTTTGGTAATCTTTGTGCTTACTCATTTGGATTGTGGTGAGAAATATAGGGTACCTCTACAGAGAAAGTTCCTTCTTGTCATCAAATGTTGCTTTGCTGTGTTTTTCAAGAGTAAAATGAGAGGCACAAATAAATTATGACTAATATAGCTAAACTGGAAAGGACTAGACTGCAAAAATGGTGTAATTCTGTTGTACCTTTTTCATAATTTATCAAACCAGAGGTTAAAAGTAACTGCTGCAAATATGGATTAGAGTAGAACTGTGAAACAAAGTACCGAATGTTAGCACAGAGGAGTGCTTAAGCACAGCCTAGTGTAAGATGCATGCCTGCTGTAGTCTCCTGTTTAGGAATGGGGCGTGTGTTTTATAGCATACCTGCAGATAAATATTAGCTCAATAATCACTTAAATTGTGTTAAAATTTCTGAGATCTGTAATGACAACTGTGAATCACCAGAATACCCTTTCCAATTAAATTGATCTCCCCCATCCCCAAACATTGTTTAGTAAATATGTAGATACTGTGCAGCTAGAAGTGGTCCACAGGGACCGGTCTGTAAACACTTGATTGTTACTGCTTTTAAATCTTAAACTTATTACATGACCTCATTATTACAGATTTCATTAATTTCATGACAGGTAAAGCTTGAAGGCTTGGAGCTGCTTTACAGAAATAAACTCAACAATATCTTGATTACAAGTTATTTTACACTTAGGTTATGTAATAGCCTAATGTTTCTATTTGTATTGTGTTCTGGAGGAAAAAAAAGGCCTTGATATTTCACCTGATTTCATACCACAGTGTTCATTGTGTTAATAACAGTGCTGCAAATCTCAAATTCAACTGATTTTAATAATCTTAAAGCAGTGATCCTCTGAAGTGGGGGGTGGGGGGGGTGGTTGTGTGTTGGTTTTGTGGGGTTTTCCCCCTAATAAAACAGTCAGAAGTAGTGGTCCAAAAGAGTTATTGAGAAATGGTTAGGTTATTTTGAGTTACACACCTATGATACTCTTACCATTGGAAGGGGTGTTGTATTTATTTTATCCCATGATATGCATCTTTGATATATAGTTTAATGACCTCACTTATTTTTGAAGCAAAATGAAAGCTAGGAGTAGGATGAATAAGCAAATTATAATAAGAGATTCATGATGAATTTGCTGATCACATTTTTTTCTGTCCCTCAGATGTGTGGGATAAGATAATTATGATTTATTTTTTGCATAGTACATAAATACATTTTCTTTGCTTCAGAGCTTAATAAGTTGTTTGGATTTTTTTTTTTTTTGTATGTATAGGAATATATGGATTGAGTAATTCTTTGTTGGATACACCATGGAAGAAACTTCAATATGGGAAGCAGCTTTTCACAGAAGTGGTCAAGAGAAGTCAAGACCTTACCAAAGAAGACTTGGTGCAGGAGCTTCTTACAGTGATGAATAATCAAGAGCCGTAAGAATGTGCTAGCCAGAGTTTCCTCAAAATGCAATATGACCAATTTAAAAATTGCATGTAGAAACTATTTTGACAGAAAAGAAACTTTAGCCCTATATGAATTGACTAAAGCTAGGTAATGAAGGGCAAAAGCAGTGTTCTTTCTCTCCAGAGACTGACTTTCAACAATATTGATCTTCAAGCAGCAGACACAGTAAACATTGTTACTGCAGTCTGAGAACTCCATAGACTGCACACCGATTTCTCTGTGCCATTTTCTTTTAAAGATTGCACTTCTCTTAGTAAGGGTAACGAGTGCAAGACAAGGGATGTGCAAGTTGCTTGCCGTAAGCTTTGTGGAGGCTCACTGTAGGGTAAGGTTCACTTTCTTACTGCACACAGAGTAAGCACTCGTTTACATGAGCAGGTTTGTGTTAGTAGCTGCTAGCTATGCTGTATTGCTACCCGGAGTGGGCACAGAGGGTGGAGAAGCAAGCTATTTTTGAAGTAGAACTATCTGCCTTCCTCAAAAGCGCAATTATTTTAGCCTAAACAGGGAAGGAGGTAAGGGAGTATCAGCTGTAGGCCTCTGGTCAAGAAAATTGTCAAGATGAGTTTGAGCATCTAAGTGAGGTTCCTACACTCTTTACCGGCTACACAGTGAACCTGGGCCCATATGCTAGGTGTTTAGAAGTAAAAGAAATTGATACCATTTAAATGTCCAGACACAGAGCAGGGTGAAGGTGATGTTGTGATCTAAATTCACATCATTGCTCACCTCCCAGTTACTTTCATGCTTAGCCTGCTTTTACCTGTCTAGGTGGTGATTTGTGTTGAAGCAAAACTGTTTCTGGTATGTAAATCCAGTTTCCTAACTCTATCAGTCAATTTTAATTCATTCATGTTTGTGGCATTTTTCAGTGGTGCAAAATAAATGTTTACATAAGAACTCAGACATCTGAGCAATGAGTAGTAATTGGGAAGTCTGCTAAGCCATCTTAATTACTTTTTTCATCTGATACCAGATCAAGTGATTTTTCAAAAAAACTGTTATACTTTACCTTTTACTAGTAAAAAGACAAAGGTATAAGATGCAATACAATCCAAACAATCTTCCCTATATACTCAGTAATTCAGTATGATCTCATCTGAAATCATCTGACTATAAAATGGAAATAGTCACTTACAAAAAGCAATATTTAAAACTAAGACTGTAATCTTTCCAAAGCACACTTCAAGATGAAATGATCTTTTCATAATAAGTATGAACACATGGATAGCTTTGAACTTTCTTAAAATATCTCATTGCATATTACTTTATGATCACTTTGTGTGTGTTACAAGCATTAAGTGGGTATGATGGTTGGTGGTGGAGTATGAGGCAGGAGCTGACAGTTCTCACGGGCTGAATGCCCTGCTATGTGCCTTCTCCGTTACATCGTGGCATGCTGCAGCCATGTACCCTATACAAGAGCAAGAAGAGCTTAGTTGCTCTATTCGTATGAGAATTGCACCTATTCTTGCTTATCTATCCCTGAAACACCCGCAGGTCCTCTTCTCCACCACCACAACAAAGAAAATGATCCCAGTTAGATGTAGAGGTCAATTAGAGTATAACAAGCTGCACAGTCTCCTCTACAGGTCGGGATGAGCTCTGAAAATGGGGTTGAATTCATCAGTCTGTTTTGCTCTGCCTTCTTCCCTAATATTCACTGTACAGCTGATAGGCTGCTGAATTATTACTATTTTCTAGGTATAACTGGGTCTGTGCTAGGAGGCAGAAATGGGATTACTTCTTGAAGATGGTAGAAAATTAAAAATCAATCACAAAACCCTGTTATAATGATAACTAAGTTGGACTTCGATAAATAGAACTGGAATTTTTAATTCTTGAAATAGGAAGCTTTACTTAGGGCTAGCGTTTGAGAATATGTTCTAGCGATGTGAATGGAAAGTCAGGGATGTAGGGTTGCTGCAGTTTCCTTTGTGACCTTGGTATCTCTTCTGTGGGATGCTGATGCTTGTTTAATTACAATAAATGAAGCTTGATATGCTTTATAATAAAATTATGTTTCTAAACATCTTTCAAGTTTTGATAGGAATATATGTCAAGAAATTTGGGCACGAGCTCACCTTGTCCTCTGCTGCATCTTCACAAATTTTATTTTAAGGATTGTCCTGGGTAATTTCTAGGTATTCCAAACATGATTGAAGGAAGCAGAGGTCTTTCTTCAACATAAAAATAACTCCTGAAATCTAACTGGAAGAATGCTGGCTTATGTGATGTGCCTCAAATTACCTGATCATTAATGTTAATTGAAACTAAAATACTGAAAGACAGACAAATAATAATAAGGACCATGAAAAACTGGTCAAAATAGGGAAAATATTTCTTAAAGTGAGGCAAAAGCTCAAGACCTTGAAAGAATTTCTATGGGAAAGAGCTTACAAGCTGGTTTATATTTGGTTTTCCTCATACTTTAGTTTTGAACACAGTTCACACTTTTGTACTTTTTGAAAAGTGATTGTTACTTATCAACCACTCAGTCAACACAGCTTGGTTCAAGAGGGATGAATGTGTCAATGTTGGAGAATTAAACTGTGTTTTTATTACTTTTCAGTCAGTTACCAGACCCTGCGATTGAAGACCAAGGAAAGGATTATATACGTCCTATGTTGAACAAGTACGCAGCTGTATGTGTTCGTTGCCCAGGTTATGGAACAAGGTAAAAAAATTCATAGTCAGAAATAGATGTGTACTGGATCAAAGCATATCTCAAATCAAAACTATGCTGCTATAAATTTCAACTCTATAGTGACTGCTTTAAATTTGTTCAGATATTAATCAAGTATAATTCAGTAAAGTATTTCCTTGCTCAGTATTCTGGTGTCTTAGATTTGCTACTGATGAGCATTTTATGCACACATTATGGTTCATCTTCGGTGGGGAGTGTGACATAGCTTCAGTTCGTCTGAGACAAGATAATACATTTCTCCTGGTTCCCCAGTGTAGTAGCAGATCTGACCACCTCTAATTTTGATCTTATCAAAACATGAAAAGCTTTGAAATCATGTTTTTAGCAGAAAACCACATTTGTCTCCTATATCTGAGGGAACTGCAGAACATATTTCTCATCCAAGGGTAAGAATAGTTTCATCTGCATAGCTAACTAAGTTAGAGGTTTCTTTAGGCATGTCACTGTAATATGTAGCTGCCATTTTCATACATTAAAAAACTATTACTCTTGTTCAAAAGAACATGTATTTCCACTTTTCCCCCAACTGATGCTACTGTTTTTACTGAGATATTCTCATTTTCTGTTCAAACTGTTCTACCAAAGATGCAAGAAGAATAGAATAATGCAATGCATCTTGCATTTAATCCTCGATGGGACAGAAATTATAGGTGAACCCTGTTGCTGCTGGTAGGGAGTTCCTACTCTAAAAGACTGCCAACAATTTTGTCAGTTTGGTCTCTGGCATAGTGAGCCATAGCATTTCCGCTATAGAGATATAAACTCATAAGCAGAGATTGCTCACCTCTGTATTTTAAGTTGGTATGCTGAGAAAGAAACCACTGCAAAAACCAATTCTCTCTATAAAATGTATTCAAAGAACATTTTAAATACGGGATAATGAAGTCTTAAAATGGTGAAAAACATCATCCTCCCCTTGCTTCACAGGTTGTAATCTAGCTATTTCAAAGGAATAACTCAGCAGAAATACTAACCTCTTACTGGTGAATTAACACTATATTTCAAGTCTTCCCTGCTACTATACCTGTATGCTCACACTTATCTTCCCCATAGCAACATGGCTTAGCGACTAGAGATTGTTAATTAGGCCTCACCATATTCTTCTGAGGAAATTAAGCACACTTTTTTTTTTTTTTTTTTTTTTTTTTTTTTACATGAGTGAACAACTGTGGGAACAACTTGGGCAAGGCCACCACATCAGGATGGTGGAAAACTACTTCTGTCAGTCACCTCTCCATGGCAGGGTACTGCAGTGTCCATAGAGAAATGACAGCTTACACATGACAAAGTAGCATAGATGCGTGAATGGAATCTGCTTCTCATGAGAACAAATTTCCTCTTTGGAAGGTTCCTAGAGAGAGAAAAGTTTTTCTGTGATCTATTATCAGTGTCCTATGATAAAAATTAACAATGTTTAAATATTAATGGACAATTGATTTGAAAGGAAAGAATGAAAAGAGTACTATTGATACGAATAGCCCATCAGGGTACATGTAGGCTGTGAAAAAAAACTTCTGGTTTATGCTGCTTCTGAATGGAACACTTGGCCCTAAAAAAAGTTTAACCTTTTGTCATACTCTCTGTAAATGAGCAGCTTTGTGTGTCAGCTGCTGCAAGTGCAACAGGGAATTGAAGCAGGGGAGTGACAGAAGAAGCGAGTGAAAATGCCCATTTGAACTTGTCAGGACGATTTCTGTCCTGCTAGAGTGGCAATGATGCAGTCAAGAAAAAAAATGAGCTAAAAAACCTTTGGGGATGAGGGATGGGACCCTGCAAATGTATATAACGGACACAAGGCTTAACCTCCTACCTTTATGTTGTTTTCAGGACTAACACGGTCATTCTCATTGATTCAGAAGGACGGGTTACTTTTACAGAGCGCAACATGATCAATGCAGATGTCAACCAGTGGAAAACAAGCACCTATGAATTCAAACTGCACACTTAACAACTTTCCATTTGAATGGTTTGTAATAAAGGCAATGAGAGAACAAGCCATTAAGCCCTAGTAAATGTTTTGTGCCAGCCTCCACAAGCTAAAAATAGCAAGGAAAGCAAAAGTTTAAATAAACTGGTAGTGTATCTGATCAGGCTCGTGAATTATGTGGATAAAATCGAAAGAAGAAAGTGGTTTTTGCATTAAGTAGCAACTTAAAATCAGAAATGAATTTTTAAATATCAGGCTGCCTCCAGGGCAAGGCCATCTTTGTCCAAGACAAAGTCATTGCTTTTTTGTGGGTGGTTTTCTGTTTGTTTAGAGTTTGGTGGTTTTTTTTTTTAAAAGACGTTTTAAGAGGACTCTTAAACATGCTTTCACTTCAAAGGAGGGGAAACATTTGCTGCTTTTGTTGTTCTACCTAAAGGTTTTACCACATTTAGCTTTCCCTTCAACATATGCTTTTAAGATTGTATAGCTGATGCCAATGTGCATTAAATGAATGTATGTTACCTTTGTAGTATCAACTGCTTTAGTAACATTTAAACTTTTCAGCAGTGCCATGGTGCAATGTTCTGCCTGGGGAGGGCAGAGCAGGGGGGAGTCTTTACTTTTGTTTTCCTACAGGTAGTACAGCATTATATCTTATTTCTAAACTTGATTTGAGAGTAGATAGGAAATTAAGTTCAGTTTCTGTTCATCTTTACTCAGTAGAAACTAAAAAAATGACGGGAGCAGACTTGCTTATCTTTGACCAGAATAAAATTATGTGTATTGTGACATCTTGTTTCCTGGTAGTCTAATTAGCAATATTGTTTGTCGTCTTTTCTTCCTCAGCAGGCAGGTAAGGAATAAGTATCTGTTTGCAAACAGAAGCTGAATATGAAGTTTACATATATCAGCTGGTTTATACCTGTGCAATTTTGGCTTCATTTCTTTATTGGTATAATCTGTCAAAACCCGGAGTGACTGCTCATAGATTTTTAGTAAAAATAGCTATTTGTTTTAAGGTGATGTTATAACAGTCTTTACATTGCTGAAAAAGTTGGGTATTAAGATGCACTTCATATGTTCTAACATCTGTGAATTAAAAAGCTATTTAAATGCATGCTTTTTTCAATTATTCAGTGCCAGTGTAGGTGATAGAAGATTCTAGCTGATAGCAAGATATTTTAAAACCCTAAGTTATTTTGCTGCTACTGGTGTTCTGCCTTATTTTGAATGCTGAATATTAAGTTAGTAATGGATCACTGCTGTTTTTTCTATATATATGCTGGATGTATTCTTTTTACAAGCCTATGATTATTACAAAGAAGCGACATTTCTGATGCTATTTACAAAGATATGCAACTGTTCTTCTATACTCAAGTTTGTGTGTTCAAGCATTCTCACTGGCGCGCGCGCGCACGTGTGTGTGTGTGTGTGTGTGTGTGTGTGTGTTTGTGTCTCTCTGTCAGGGAGGAAGCAGTAAATTAGACTTACCATTGAGGTGAAGTACTGTGAAAGGCCATTCCCAGACTTCTAATTGCCAGGAGATGCTAAAGCAGCATTTAGTCAGATATTTCCTTTGTATTTGCATATTTAAATAGCTTCTAGATACCAGGACTGCTTGCGTGACTAGTCATGGGTTGTTCGTTCAGTACTATATAAAGGACTTTTTGACCACCTTGATTGCAAGATGAAAAATACAGTCTTGTCTGTACATGGCTTCAAACTCGGAGCCTTCCAGACTGTCTTTCTGAGCTGTAGGAAATAGTTAGCCCATTTTTATTTTTTGATGGCTGTTTAAACCATGTATTTGTATGAATACAAATGTTATTGTTATTTTTAGATGCAAAGAAATAGCCATAGCTCTCTAAAATTTGAATTTGACAAGCGCATAGGTAAAAACAAAACTTGGCTTGAATGGCTTGCTCTTACTGAGTGCTGCATATCAAACTTTTTTGTTTCTTATGAAAAAAATAGCCAGTGTATATTTGTACAAGGTATTATCTTCAGAGATATTACCTAAATGGCAAGCAAAATGCCTGCATGCCATTTCTTGCCAAAAGCATTTATAAACCTTAGTTTTTATAGTAGTTCTCTAATAAGGAAGATTTATTTTCTATGTATAGGCAAAAGAAAAGCAAGTCAGAGCTTAGATGTAAAAACAGATGGTAGTATATTTTGCTTTGCTCAAATAGAAATTCTAAATTTGGGATTTGCTTTTTCTGACAATTAAAATAAAACAAACAGTAAAGAACAAAGCCTCTAATGTTATTTTTTTTATGATGTCAGAATAGTTAATAAAGTGAGGGGTTTTTTAATGTCTTTTGAATTTCATGAGAGTTTTGCTATTGGCTTCAGTGGAAACAGGATCAGAACTGCAGCAAATGGTGTGCTTGTCCATAGAAATTATTAGGAATTCATGAAGTGCATAATTTACTGTGTGCTAATTATATTTGCAATGGAAATATAATTCCACTGGAAAAAGTAAACTGTAGTTAAATTTAACAAAGTATGTAATTTATTTTTATAAAAGTATTTTTAAAAATCAGTTTTAAAGGATATAAAGGGAAAAAGTGTATATAGGAAACTATTGCATGGCATTTTACTAAGTTTGCTTATATGTAACATCTTTTCAAAATAATAAATTTGCAAGAGATTTTGTTTCCTGTCTTTTTCCTATCAAAATGGTAGTGGAAGAAATATCTGTAAAAACTCAATTATATTTTTTTTGCTTAAAATTGTTTCATAATTGTTGTTTACATGTGTGTTCAAAACTAGAATGAGAATAAAGTCAGTCTGGTGACCAGTCTTTGCCAACGTTAATAGATTGTGCATTTTTACACATATGTTTATGTTGATTTTTCTGTAAATTTGTGTGATAAGATGAAGTAAAGTCTTCATGAGCTATTGGAAATTAAAGAGCTTTCAGTTAAGTCCATTTCTGGTACTTAGTTCCTTTTTAAGAGGAGTGCATTTTTCTGGGGGTTTTGTTTGATTTTTTGTTGTGTGGTGTGTGTTGGTTTTTTCAATTCTGTGCTTTTGCATGGTTATACTTGTCTTATCCAGGTGAGAAATTGGAAAATATTTCCTTAAAGCTAATAATCCAGGTCTGAGGCATTTTGCTTTGTTTTTCAGGTTAGTAAGCTAGAAAGTTAGAATGTATTGACTGGAATGTTCCCAGACCAAATGTCACAGTAATCAGTCCTCTGAAATCCTCTCCATCTTCTGACAACCAATATGTGCCCACCACCTCCCATTCCAAAAGCGTATGTCCTCACGTTACTAGCCCTGGCTGGATCCACTCCAAGCACAGCAAGATCAGGTAGAAAACGCAAAGGTTCTCAAACACTGGATGTCTGAGACAATGTCTCGAGCATCCCTCTTCCTGCCGTAACCTCAGCGTACTTGGAATCTGCAGGCTGGAGTGGATCCTTCAATCTTTTGGTTCCCCCCCAAAATGGAAATAATTGCAGCAGAGATACAGTACAGATAATGCAAAGGAAAGGGAAAACTAGTGCTTCCTTAGTGAAAAGCCAGAGCCTCACAAAATGCCACTGAAGGGTAAGAATCCAGGTTCACTGTGGGAAAAAGTCTGGATCTTGGGCAAGACCTGAGAGTCTCGTTACACTAAGTCGAGACTACCTTAATGTTCTGCCATACCTGGACATTGCGGTGGAGATGTAATTGTCTCATCTCCCTGTTATCGGTAGCTTTAATTAATTACACTTTTAACAGACCAGAGAATGAATTGGGCCTTTTGAGGTCCTCAGTACATTTGAAGCTTGACTGATACTTCTTGTTACAAATGAAACATACCAAACTGAATATTAAGACAAAAAAAATACTGATATGACCTGGAATACTGATCTCATAAGGAAGTAAGTAATTTCAAAATGAATTGATGAAATACTAAGCAGTAATAAGGCTGTTTATTAATAGTTAATTATTAGCTAATAATTAAAGCATCTTACATTTAAAATTTAGCTTGAGGAACTTAATGCATGGTTATGGCTTAGCAAGCATCCCTATTTATATGGAATATTAGCTACTAGGTATCAGTTTTATATCATTCAGATTCATGTAATAGATCATTGCTAATGTTCTTCATCTGATTCATTTTCTGCAGAGATGTCTTGTTGACAGTTACTGAGGATTTAGGAAATGGTCTTGACTTGATGAAAATAGAATCTGTATTGTAATCAACTGGAAAGGCAATAGAATAAGCTGAGAAGTACCCCTCAATATGACTCATGCTGTGAAAGGTAAGTTAAGGTGAACAGAGTGAAGAAAATGTTAAATATATAAAATGAATATATGAAGTAACTATCTCTGGAACATCCTGTATCAAGAACTTAGAAACTGAATGAAAAAGCAGTATCAGATTAAAGTACTCAAACTTACCATATCTTTTAAAACAGAAGACATAAGGACTGAACTTAGGATCATAGATGAGGGAGAAAAATAATAATGAATGTAAACTTTTATATTAAGTAGGATAGGCAAGAATTAAAATCTATTTAAGTCATATGCAATGTGAATGAGAAAAAAAGCAGTTTCTCTGCTGATTCACATTAAATTTTTGTGTCTTTGTACTAGAAAGATAAATGGGAAGAAACAGATACAAACTAAAAACAGATAAGAAGTTGGAGAAATGAAGTGGAGGAGAAGGGCATACTTAATTTAGCAGAGAACAAATATAATGGAGAAAATCAGTTATGTTGAAAGATGTTCTGAAGATAATCTGCAAAAGCTTAAATGAAAAAGGAGCGGCTGTTTTACAAGTAGACAAAGATGGACAGTGTAGCTTTAAGACGTTCAGGCTACATCAGGAATATTTACTGGCATTCTATTGAGACCTTTATTCTAAACATGGAAGTTTTGTGCAGCCTGATTAAGCTACTGTTTTATACAGAGTTATAAATACATAATAAAATTATAAATTGTATATAAAATACAATATGTATTTACATACAAAAATATATTTACAAATAATTTGGTGGAGAATTCAGATTCCTTGTCTGAACTGAATATCTGTTCTAATACAACTTGCATTCAACCATGCCAAAAAGGTCACTCTACACAGAGAATTCTGTAATGTATTGCTAGAGAGTAGGGTATGTTTTTAGAAGTGGTTGTAATACAAAGGTAAAATAAACAGCAAGTAGGACTGCAAAGTTGAAAAATACTCAGTTGTGACTTCAATGGAGGCATTAGGTTTAACAGGTGCGTATAGAATAACCTCCATATTCTGAATATCTTTGCTAAAATGGCACTTTTTTCAGCATGCATTTAATTTCCATCTCATTCTGTGACTTACCTTATTTTCTTGCTTTGTGTCTTTACTAAATATCAGCTTGAATGATTGCATTACTTTTTAAAACTGCAGTATTTTCATTATTAAATACTTGTCTCAACAGGCAAAACACTAATTTTTTCCTAAAACATTATAAAAATGCACGTGGAGTCCTGATCTCTCTCCTGAAGAGTTTGAGGTGGAAAATGCATTGAGTGATGTATTCTTCTTATCAAAAAAACCCCCCTCCCAAAACCAACCAACCAAAGAAAACCAAAAAATCCCCACCAAACCCAAGACCCCAAACCAGAACAACCACTCTGCATACAGATTATAAAGCTTCCACTGAAGCTATGATTGATTGTTACGTAGGTAAGGGATTTGAACTTCTTTAAATTATTTTGAATAGCATATAAATAGTTATAAAAAAATATGCAGAATACATTTTTATCTATGAAAATTAATATAAAATGTAATGATGCTACTGTATGCTTGGTCTCCACAATTATGATTATGTAAGAGCAACTTAAGAAAGAACTTAAATGTATAAGCTGGCCTTTATGTGACCACTTAGAAGCATACTCAGTCCTCATTTAACTTGCTCTGAATTAATGGGACTTCAGAATATTCTTGATAATCATTATATGCTTAACTATTCTCAGTAAAACGTTCTGGAACTGCACTGGTTTTATGAAACTTTATTTTATGAGCTTGTTCTTTTTGTGGCCTCTGAGAAGCGGCAGGGCCTGCTAATGCAGTAAGGTGCTTTACAGCCTTGCCTCTGGTGACAGAGGAAGCGTTTTCACTGGATATCTCATCTGACATGCCAGCCCTTACAGGCAGAGCGCCAGGCTTGGTCAGTCACTTACCAGATTTGTAAACACATTGATTGCTTCTGTTCAGTGGAGGAAACCACATCGCTTTTCAGACATTAATTAAGATAGATCAAATAATAAACTGGAGAATATGTGGAGCCAGTAGTGTCTCCTCTTGCGGTACAACATTATAATTAGTATTCAATAATAGAGGCTTTTGCCTCTTGTTAAAAGAATGTGCTCTTCCAAGAAAAAGGTGAATGAGAAAGCTAGGGTTTTTTCTCTCCCTGTACTAGCTCTGCTGTGAATAGCTACTGGAAATAACCATAGAGCCAAGGTCTTAATCAAATGCATTTATCCATCTCATGTTTGTCATGTCTCACTTGAATGGCTGGCATTTAGAGAGGAATTAACTGTCCTTTCAGTTACAGATGGGTCTGCATTAGTACCTTAGTTTGATTAGTGGTGCCCTATTTGCTGTGCTTTGGCTCACATTTCAGGACAACCTCAGATCACAGGGACTAGGCTGTTTTCGGATGGAACGGAACTGGTAGATGTGCTTCAGGAATGTGCTAAGTGTACTCCAACAGGTTATTGGTTTAGCCTGAAGCAAAACTGTCTGAAATACACATAGCATGGAGATTAAGTACTCAGCACCAATTGTTTTGGTAAGCATAAATCTGCTTATGTTGGTCTGCTTTACTTATAGATGTAGCATGTGATAGATGTGCGTTGTGTTGGTATCCTTGCAATATGGCAGTTGCAAATTTTTCTGTTTTCTTTAGCAATATATTGTGCCAGTCAAGTCTGAGTACTCTCTTGGTATAATATGCATGTGTTTAGACTGGCAAAGCAATCCCAGAATGGCAGTTACATAAAAAACAGCCATCCCAGCACAATTGTGCTTTCAGAAGCATAACTTAGTTTGCCTCTGGGGAAAACAAAGGTACTGACATTTATGCTTTTGCTCATATAAGTGCAACTACACCTGGATTTTTGGCAGCCAAAGATTATGTTCCTGATTCATGTCTGCGTGCCACCAATAGTATATATAGTAGACCAAGCGAAGGAGTTATAGCGACCGTTACTTAGCTGTAGTTCACAGCAGCCCTATGGAACAGCAAAGTACACTTTGTTATCACAGGTCTGAATTTAAAGCAT